GTTAGCAAGATAAACAGATATGAGTATGACAGTAAATAAACCTTTCCTTTTATAGTACTTGATAATATGATTACTTGAATTAATATGAATACACACGCACGCACGCATGCAGGCACGCACTCGCGCAGGCACACACGCAAGCACGCCCGCCGGCACACACAGGCACGCACGCACGCACGCGCGCAGGCACACGCAAGTACGCCCGCAGGCACACCGGCACACACAGGCACGCACGCGCGCACGCGCGCAGGTACACACGCAAGCACGCGCACAGGCACACACGTATATACGCGTGGGCGGCGGCTCGTGCTTGATTGAATGCAATACAGTACAGTACACACTCGCCCCCGATATCATGTTTTCGGGGGCTCTTTTTGGCATTTCGAGGGCGAAATCGCCCGCCGCCCCCGTGTATTTTTTCCCCTGCTCTCACATCATGTGAAGACAGCAAATTGAGTATATTGCCAATGTCAAGTTTCGTCAGCTGACCAGACCTGTGTAATATACGTTTCCTAACTTGACAATTAACCAGTATGTACATGTAGTAGTTATTCACAGGGGTGTTTCCATGGATCTAGTCTCTAAGCGACTGTTACTGCGTTACAGTACTGGGTTCATTGCCATTGGTAAAGCTAATCGTACAATTGGGTGTAATCTAATACTCGCCCTACCCCGAGGGAAACGGTCGCAAATAGAAATTGGTCTGTGACATCAGGTGACTTATCATCGTCCTTGACCCTAGACTATGCACTCCATAACTGTTACACTTGGTGATACCAACTGGATGTGAAGCAATACTACTGTTGACTTAGATTCGACCGTAATCACGAGAAGATATAGACGGAGATAAAATAGCTCCTCGAGAATTGCATGAGACTTTATTATATATAGGCTATCAGGGTTCTGCCCAGGATTTTTTAGTGCCGGGCGCATCCAGGTCGCAAGTTGCAATCGCCGTGGGCACGAAGTCAATCTAGGGAGTCCGGGAAAATTTTTGATTTTGGATAGTCTGAAACTCAATTTCCTGCATTCTGAGCAATAAAAAGCCCATATATCAGACCTTTTTTTATTTTATTTTATTTATTTATTTTTTTTATATCAAAAATTAGTGCCGGGCGGAGATATATAGTGCCGGGCGGCAACCGCGAGTGCCGGGCACACCCGCCCACCGCCGCCCACCGTGGGCAGAACCCTGGGCTATATATAGACTATGTGTAATGTTTATAGAAATGAACTTGAACTTATGAAATGAACATGCTTAGTTTATATGCACTTTCGTGCATGCGTCTTAGTTTATGTTTTGCGTTATATCAGCTTATTTCATTCACAGGTTTCTGTTCAGACTGTACTGGTTCCCACTGAAAGTGTTGTACACTGCCGGTTATGGTGCCATGCTGAGAGACCCTACCTACGTACCCTTCTGGTTCTTTTTCAATGTGCTTCTCTGGATACTGCAGTTAATGAACGTCTACTGGTTTCAGGTACAGATAATTTTTTTATGTAGTTGTGTGCATTGTTCTTATTACCTCCAGCCAGCGGCTTGGCGGAGGTTTTATGTTTTTCACCCGGCGTGTCTTTGAGTGTTGTTTGTGGGTTTGGTGTGTTACCATGCACGTTTCAGTTCACTTCGCTAGGTGCGCTGGGCTGTAGACTTACAAACACGGCAACCACCAGTGCCAGCTAAGGGCAACCACAGTCCTTCCCGCACGCTTGCACGCATCGCAGCTAAAATGCCGGATTCCGAATAATTAAAAAACATTTTCCGCACTTAATTAAATTAATATAAAAATTTCACATCTCAGAGAGAATTCAGCTGCTTTGGGCGGAGGTCTGTTGGGCTCATCGGCGAGTGCTCTAGTTTAAACTTGGAATGATACTCACATGCTCCGGACTATTTATCGAGCCTTGTTACCATGACGGATCAAATTCATAACTATGCAACTAGAAATATAAATAAGATGTTTTTATCTTCTGTTAAGATTTGCCAATCTGGAAAAATAGTTTCTAATTTGCCATGGAGGGCAATGCTTGTGAAACAACATGACTGACACGCAGATTAAAAACTGTGATGTACGCTAGCATCTTTAAATTGAAATATATCAGGTTTTAGCTCATCTGACGAAGTCAAGATGCAGCTTGTAAGAATCGTGCATGAGCGTGCGTGCGTGCCGTGCGTGTGTGGCGTCCGTCAAACAGTTGGGCACAAATTCTTAACCGTTCGACCGGTACGGTCACGAATTCGGGACGCTGTGCGGGGGGGGGGATCGTGAAAAGGATTCGTCATGACCAATTGGGGGTCATGGTCAAAGGTGCGAGATGTGTCAACGGAGGGGGAATATTTTCCCGGCTTAACTGAAAGGTATACGAGGAAATACGGAATTGCGGCACAAATCTGAACGACTCGCACCTATGTCTTAATATTTTGGTGTATAGTGTGATGGGGCAGGAAACACCCATTACCAGTGCAAAATTAGAGGTCGCGGGTCAAAGGGGCAGTGGGGGAAAGAGTCAGATATCAGACATTTTCTGAGGAATGGTACAGGTGGAAAACTTTTTGTTTCAGCGCTGACCTCGCATTTTTTAGCTCATCTCACGAAGTCAGATGCAGCTTTGTAGAATTGCATCGATTGTCCGTGCGTCCGTCAACAGTTGGGCACAAATCTAAACGGCTCGACGTACGGATTCGAAGTTGGGACGTTGGGGGGTAATCCGAGAAACGCAGTTGGGATGTCGAAGCTGGGGGTCAAAGGTCAAAGGTTCAAGAGTGTAAAAGAAGGGGGAACGATTCCCGTCCTAACTTAAGGTATAGGGAGGAAATGCAGAAATTGCGACAAAAATCTAAACGGGCTGCGACCGAGGCTTTGTGGATAGTCTGGTGTGATAGGCATCATGGTAGGAAACGCCATCATGTCCAAATTGGAGGTCACAGGGTCAAAGGTCAATGGGCACAGCAGGCCAGATTTTTAGACATTTTTCTGAGGACATTGGTCTGACGGAGCGATTGAGAAAACTTTTTTCAAGCGGTGACATACCATTTTTATTGAAAGGACGCATAAAATGTACCTTTCCGCTGACAAAATGGCGAAGAGTAAGTGTCCGGATAACCTTTTTGACGCCTCAAGAGGCAGGTTAAACATGGATTTCTTTACTTTAGAAAAGAATTGTGAAGCTTGCTCGGGTGTGCTATGTAGAATTTATATCCATGCCTGAGATGTATGCAGGCTACAATGTACAGTGAAATTTCAAAAGTGCTAAATTGGTTGAAGATAGGTTTTGCTCCTTATAATCGTATAAATATCTAATGGCATTCTGTACTGTCAGTGTGTTACATGTAACTTGTGCCACTGCAGTGGCCACTGCCAGTGGCATGTGGTGGTGATAGTACTGTGTAGTTTTTTGCCTGCGTTAATTAGTTACAAGGTGGCAGCTCTCTATTTCAGCCATGTACGGCTTGCGTAGGTAAGATGGATGAGTGCTTACGCTAATTCTGTCTCGCAAATAGTTGTTGCTAAACTACGTAAGAAATGGGAGCTTCCATCTTGAATGTTAAGAACAGTCATTAAAACGTAACGCGCCATCTGTGGCAACTTTCATAACGATCCCCAACGAACATTTCTTTTGAGAAGGGTTGCCTGATAGGCATGCCTGTTGCCTTCCACTGTTTCGGCGTGTAATGTGAACAACATTTGGAAGCTAACAGGGTTTACTAGAAATCCCACCACTGCCCCACAGGAAGTCACCGCACTAAAGAGGATAGTACGTTAGATGAGCGGGCTGTCGCTTCTCGCGTCACTTGTTTATCACTTTATTGTAAAGGACCAATGAAATTGCTTTCTCACTGACGTGCGAAGAGTAAGTGTCTGATAACCTTTTGGACCCTGCAAGAGGAGGGTTAAACATGGATTTGTTGACTGTGTAACAAAGGACTGAACTGTGTTTGATGTACTTGTGTGATCGTGGAAGACTTTAAATTTCACAAGTGAGAATTCTGCAATGCAAAACTTACTTTGAACAACGTTTACGCGGCCTTAAATGCAATATATGAACCTTCATTCTCTATATGAGATTCTGTACGTTGGGAATCACAGATGTCAAGTAGGCACTTAGCACAAACGTCTGTTTTTGATTAAGGCACTATAAATAAGTCCTACTTGCATTTAAGCCTGATAGACGAACCGCGTAGAGCACGGGCGTCACGGCTTGAAAGGCTCGTATGGATCGAATCCCATGCTGTTTTTTAATTATTTTCCTGTTTTCTGTATTTTTGCTATCTTTATGCCATTAACTGTTTTTTTTCCAATTTAAACCGCAAAATATTTACATGATTTTATTTACAACAATTTAATAACTTTTTTTTTTTTATAGGGTTAGAGTTGGGAGGGTTTAGGGTCACAATCGCACCATAAAACAGGAGTTTCAAGCACGTGATTTGGTATCAACCAATGGAATTTGGGAGGTATGCAGGCCGCTTACGCTTGCGTGTCAGGTGGCGTGGCTGATAGTATCAGCAGCAATGGGCTAAACGAAGGTAGCAACTAGTTCAGATTATCTATTGCGCCTGCACATAGCGCAGTAATGGCCCACACGCCATCGACTATCGGAAACACGAGTGAGAAGAATGTTCTGGCAAGGATCAAGGTCCAAATGGTTATATTGCGCTCAAATAGTGCAGAAAGAAATTACTTTCTTTACTTAGTTTTAATCAATCTGAGATAAAGTAAGTTGCAGAAATGAATCGTTAAACCTACCCAATAGAAAATTTTTTGCCAGTTTTGGTACTGTCCTTGGCCATGGCTCTCGTCCGCGACAGTTACAGTAGTGGTGGCAATTCGGGATATGGTGGAGGCATGCTGCTTGTGATGCTGCAGAGCCGGATGGTTGACTTGTCAGTTGAAATGTGTTTTCTTTCCCGCGGACATTGAAGAAATCTGTATGTTTATAACCGTGCCGTGCTGCCTTACCTTTGCCCGAGCCATCTTCGTCGAAAGGTTTGGACGCCGCCGCGGCGAAAATCGGAATGTAGCATTTCAATCGAATGACGTAACTGATACAGTAAGCTGCACTGCGTGGTGTTATTTGTATATAAACAGATTAGTCTTGACTGACTCTCCAACATTCTCTCTCTCTCTTTTCTCTCTCTCAACCCCCTCTCTTTCATCCTTCCTCAGTCGCTCTCTCTCTCTCTGCAATAAAAAAAATGTTTTGCTGAAATGATGTGTAACGCAACTGCGTATTCTGCATATCTGCGGCCTAAACAAAGGTGTCCTCTACGGCACGACTGAAAATGTACGTTTATAAACCGTAGCAACATACCTCAGATGAGCCCAGTCGCTCTGCGGCACTTGTTAGTTAATACCAGGGACTCCAGATCTTAAAATACATAAATGGTTTTACTAGGCGTGTATTTTATACTGTATAATATTTTGTCTTGGTATATTTTAGTACATTTATTATTACATTTTCATTATGTGTGTGTGTGTAAAAGTGATGTATCATGTATGATAACAGGGCCTACATGGAAACCAGTATTGTTGTTGTTTTGTAGCCACCCTGTTTTGATAAAATATGCTACTACTACTACTACTACTACTACAACTACTATACGTTGTGCCTTTTAGTCACCACATTGCATTGTAGCATTTTTAATTTTTAACAAAATGTATGACGAAAGAAATTAGAAATATGCAATTTTCTTTACAGTTCATAGTGGTCTTCCTGTACAAAGTAGCAACAGGGCAGATGACCGAGATGGTTGATACAAGAGAATATGATAGTGACAATGCATCTTCAAAGTTGCAGCAAAAAACAGCTGCAGTCAATGGGTGAGTATTTTGGCATCCATGGCTGTTCATAGAGAAATTTTTCTTTTCAACATTGGTGAGCGTGCACAGGCACTCATGATCGCGTGTGGTCAGTTCCTGCATATTATAGCCCTTTACCACATGTGACTTGGCCTATCTAAACGTTCTGATCAAGGTTTTCGCCCTGCGGGAGCTGTATAATATCATACGAGACTTGTCTTGTTCTGTAAAGCATCGTGGAAACTGTTTAATTACAAGTTTAAAGTTGACAGTATTAGCTAGGCTAGTCATAAGCCATTTGGCGATGCTGCTTAAATTTACGTTTTCTTGTTATATTTTACATTGTGTAGCATTTTAGGCAAATTATATATTGTAATTACATTCGTTTGGTTGGTGGTGATGTTTTTTTCAGACTGGCTCACAATAGCTTGCAGGGTGGGGAGAGATGTAGTTTGTTATCATGTGATTATGAATCAATATGCTGATTTATCAGGTCTTACAGCAGTGTGTTATAGAGGACAGAACCCAGAGGGCAATTATTGACTTGATATTAGATTAGGAGGTGGCTAGTGCAGGCAGGGCATAGTTTCCTTTTATTTTCCGCAAAGAAACTGGCTGCAAAAAAAATGTAACACCGACAAAGGATTTTTTGATAACCACGGCAGAGGATTGAAGCCCTTTCGTTGTTATTCCCTCAATGACATTAAAGCCAGGTGGCAGACGAGCTCCAGGCATATATTTGTACTACTCACAACTAACCGCCCTCTGCCGCCTTGTAGGGTGCTGAGAGAGCAGTCATCTGGGATGAGTGCGATCATGGAGGAGGAGAAGTGCAGGAACGGGGCGGGCCCCGATGGCGTGAGGATGAACGGAACATCGCCGGCGGCGACCGCGGCGTACAAGCGGAACGTTGCGACGCAGGACGCTGCAGCCGAGTAGCGACACCCTCCCGTCTGCCTGCAGCTCTCACGCTCGGTGCGCGGCGGCGCCGCCGCCGTCGCAGGCAAGCCGTGTTCTTCCCATGGTCGGTTTTGGTGATGTGTAGTCAGTTCAACGATTTCTCGCACTCGCGTCCACATTCAACGGTAATCCAAATCGCTGTAAATTTTCTCGAGAAAGCCGGAGGGAAGGGAGTGTGCGTCCGTGCAATGTATTTTCTGTATGAATGAATTGACAGTGCCTCGCGCGGTGTGTCATCAGATGTGAGGTGACGTGCCCACCCCGACGCCGTGCTCGCGGTAAAGGTAGTGGTAATCGTTATTTTACCCCTCAATTTCTTATTGACATCTCAACGAGCACCCGAACAAAAAGCCCGTTTGGCAAAGGCTTGATTGCTAGAGAATAGTATCTAGTCGACCCAATGGTGTGATCGATGATCACTGGTTGCTGAGGCACATGTGATCAATCGCTTCTGTTTGTAATTAACATTTTTCCAACCATTTTTAACATTTTATTAATTGGAGGTTGTTTTATTTGTATTGATTTCTGTGGCATGTAATTAATCCGCAGGGTCACAAGTGTGGGGTTGCAAACTTTACACAAAATTTCCAACAAGGTCCACGTTAGTCTTGAACTGTGTTTTAAGTGATGAGCATTGTTAAATTTCACTTTATTTCAGATATTTTATTGGCCAGAGGTCTTGGCTGGTAAGTGTTGGTCAAGCATCGTAATGTGTCCCACCCACTATTAAAATCATCAAAACAACTTCAGTTTGTCAAAATAATTGACTACCTGCATCTGTCTACTATATGTTAAATTATCCTGTGCCAAGCCCATCAAGACATAAATTAGCTCTCTAGCCGCCCATCTTAATCTAGCTAGCTTAGTTCCGACATCTCAGTATTTCCTCTATTTTTATACATAAAATAGTAAGGAAGTAAAAAAGTTTGCCCCATTACTTAAGAGAGTCTAAGAACGTAAAATTATATTTTTAATGTTGCTGCAGGCACCCAGTTAATTCTCCAGTCCAGTCTCCTTCCTAAATCTATCGGAAATGAGTGACTACACAAGTAGAGTCGATCTCAGTTAAGATTCTATTGTAACGTGCTAAAAGTAAAAATGCATTTTGTGGTTTTGGTTATTTAGATGGCCTATATCAATAATATATACTTGAGCTCCACCTAATAAGCAGTGTCTTTTAAGACCAAGTGGCCTCTTTGCATGAACCAGTTCGAGTTTTAATATCGCGTGACCATTCCGCAGTAACAGTTTGAATTATAGTACAGGGACAACTAGGAATCAGAATGCATTGTTGAACCATTACAACCTAAAATGTTTTGCCTATTGGATATAAATAGTCACATTTGCTTCCTCTAATCTAAGTAAACTTTGAATTATGCTAGCACAATGAGATATCACACCAACTATTTTCCTGCAGGGATGTTATTCTTGATTAGTATTATAATTGCTGGCCGTACTAGAGTGATCACGTCAGTCCATGGGTATGTTTATGATGTGGCGATTGAGATTAACTGATAGAAACGCAAATGGCTCCAACAGTGAGACAGATATTATGACAGATTTGAGACGGTTAATATGAGTAAAATCCATTTGACATTGGCTTTAGTTACAGAATGTATTTCAACGTTAGAAACGAGCCAATATCTTTTCAATGGTATACTGTATTGTTAAGCCTGGCGCACATTGCCGAACATTTTCCCGAACAAATGTTTGTCCGAACAAATGTTTTTGTCTGGCAATGTGCGGGTGAACAATTGCTGAGCGCACATTGCCAAACATTTTGCAGCGAACAACCTCGTGGCGCCGTCTAGTAGCTGTGTTGTACGGGAGTGGAGTCACGTGATCGGTGCATGATTGGGCACAAAAATCATGTGACCACATATCGTGCTGCTATTGGTTACTACTTTACAAATGTTCCTAGAATTGTTCGACATTCAGCGCACATTGACGAACATTCGACGAACAATGTTTGAGATATCAAACATTTCCGATCTTCAGAAACATTGTTCGGCACAAATGTTCGGCGACTTTTTTCACCGCACATTGCCGAACATTTCATGGAACATTGCTACGATAATGTTTTTGAGCAAAATGTTTGGCAATGTGCGCCGGGCTTTACCCAGCCCCGTGATTAACTATGACGGGGCTTGATTCATGTTATGTATACATTTATATGATACATCACATGTACAGTTCGTATTTTGTGTTGCAATAGCCTTCTAGCTTTATTAAGCAACAAAAGTTTTGTCACCTTCAATTCACACTATTCCATTGCCATCAATTTCGTTTTATTGAAATTTTGTTTTTTAAACATGCATAATCTTGAGTGATTAAAAGCTCGGTTAGTACGGATGGCCTATACACATATGTTATATAGTCACTAAAACATTTACAATTTTGCGCTTTACCTTGGGCGCGTTCACACGGACGTTTTTAGCCCGAGCCTAATTAGGCCCGCGCCAAATTTGGCTCGAGCTGTGCGTTGACACGGACGGTTTTTCGGGGCCGTGCCGAGTTAGCACGAGCCAATTTGGTCCCATCGTAAACGTCTGACCAGGCCCGAGCCAAATTTTAGCACCAGCTAAATCGGTAGAACGGTAGATGCCACGAGTGTCGAACGTGTACTTCGACGAAATAAAGTCCAAAACAGTATAAAAATGTGAAAAATTTGATCAGGATGCATGTTTTTAAGATTGATAATTGAACTCGGAACGGAAGTAAACACTGAATCCTACACAACGCCATCTCGTGACATACTGCCTAAGTATCTGTGAGATATTTGTGCAATAAAATTTATTTGAATTTGAATTTGAATTTGACAGACAGTATTCACTTGATTTAGCCTGAGCCAAATTTAGCCCATTTAGCTCGAGCCAAACGATTACCGTGTGAACGCGATACTTGTTCATGGAGTGTCCTGCTGGTGCAATGAGGTATTCAGGGAAATAGCAATCCACACTGTGTATAGTTGCACACAGTCAAACCTGTGTTACTTGTCATATCTGTAGAATGTCCACCTACACGTAGCAGCTATAAAAATTGGAAAATGCTGCGTTATAAATGCTGTACAGAGCGGCTAACTGCTCAGTGTGTCTAATGCCCACTGATTTTGTATGGTTCATGTCGTTTTCATCCGATGTGGCTTACTGAGATTGATGTAAATGGGGTAGAATGTCCCTACCAGAAAGCTGGAAATGGGGAAGCAATGGAACGACAAAAAGAGCATGACACTAAAAAAACAAAAAATACTTACAATTAAACTTAAAATACAAGCCCATAATATACATTGTATATCTCGCATATTGGCAATTGGCAATTGGCAATTGGAAAATTGGCCTGTAATATGATGGCCACCTGTCTGCAAAGGCTGTTTTGTCTTAAGTGGCTGTTTTATACAGGTTTGACTGTATGTATGTTAAAAATTTCAACTCAGAAAAAGTTACACACTACTGTCCGTCAACCAGCTGCCATTATATCTATCTAATTTATGTGTAAATAACCTTCAAATGCCTGTTATCATTGTTACCAATTGCAACTCGTATAGCGGCGCATCTTAAGAAAATGATGCCTAGGAAATGCCATTACTGTCTGAAATCGAATGTCTCGTCCAGTTATTTCGATCTTGTAAAATTTTTTTACTAATGACATTTCATTATAGGTGTTATTACATGGGATTACAATGAAAGGTCTGACATAGTAATGTGGGTTATAAGTGTAGTCTTTGGCGTCCGTTGACAGGCTGGTTCTGCTCAGGCCATGGTAATTCATTTATCATGCGTTAGTGCCGCTTGAGTTTTTGTACAACTAAGAACTTGTCATTGACCTTTCCAGTGTTTCTAATGGATAAGGAAACCTTTAATTGACATTTAGCAGTGTAACGTGAAAGGTTACCACCAGAATCTTGGTCTACTTTTGTGCATTTTAACGTATATGCTATACATTTGATGTTAGTTTTGTCATGTCGACAAACAGTTTTGAGTTGGATATTAAAATCCTGAAGAAAATATCTGCAATTATACGCCATTGTTCCGTCGTCCTGGCATATTGCATAGAGATCATGCTCGTTTAATAACGGTATGAGAGAAGAAATTAAATATTCGGTCTTGGATTCTCAGTGTTCGCTAAAGCCCGGCGCACATTGCCGAACATTTTGCTCAAAAACATTATCGTAGCAATGTTCCATGAAATGTTCGGCAATGTGCGGTCAGCAATTGTTCACCCGCACATTGCCTGACAAAAACATTTGTTCGGACGAACATTTGTTCGGGAAAATGTTCGGCAATGTGCGCCAGGCTTTAGATAACAAATTCAATTGCAGTCAAATTTTTTTCCCGATTGTTACTCTGGCATTTTTAATATGTGGCGAATGGCTACAAGAATGGTCACCTAAGGGGCAAGGGAAAGATGTATGTCCTCTTTTTTCCAACACCGGTGTTGATATAAAGAATTGAACTACTTTACACTGTCCCTAAAAGCATTGCAGCAACGAAGTGTAGAGATATTATTTATGTAATTGCCTTCTAAGTTATTCATCTGTTTATCCATGAAATCGCTGGTGGACACATGATGGTAGTATCGGCAGTGTCATAATGTAGACACTTCTCTGCATTATGACACTCCTAGTAGTATATGCCTAACGTACAGCTGCGCTGTGTGTAGAGGCTCCGATAAGCTGGAATTTCTCTATTCTATAGTTTTGTTTTCATTCGCTTTAAATTACGGATCATCAGTTTTCAAAGTGAATATTTCATATTGTAGTATAATGCGCTTCAGTATCGATGTTTTAGGACAAACAAAACTATAGCACATATTTTTCCCAATCATTTGCGTCGTCACGTCTGCATTTGACATAATAGTTATGTGACGTGTGTTTCACACGCACGCACAAAGACGTGGATATACACGCCTACGGTCACTGCTCCGGGTTTGGGATGTAGAGTTATTGAACACTAGTTGTTCGTTTTAGTCATCCGCGCACTAGTTTCTGTCATAGCAGATGTGCTTTTGCATTTTAGCGAGCGAAGTGAATCTACCTGCGGACATGGATATACCTGATGTTTAACAGTATGGTCGGTTTCACGCACGTCATGTCACACTTGCCAACACTTGCGTTCGCGCAGTAAGCAGGTGGTTATTCTAGGTGTGCACTGTGCAGGGTTGTATATTGCAAGTGAGTTTTTTACAGTTTAAAATTGTGTTCAGTGTTTGTTAAATTTACGCACTAATCTGTAGAAAGTCGGATGTATGTAGGCAGTGTCAACTTGTTGAGAGCTGAATACTCGTACATTCCATCAATACCTCTACTTAAATTATGTCAATAATCTTGCCACCCAATCGGGTGCAGCCACATGAAGAGATGAGTGTAGACATTTGATTAAGGATCAGAGCTATAATTGGTGCAAGGTCGATTACTAATGAAAACACTGGTAGGGGGCGCTACGGCGACCTCCCGTGTAGTGTCCTTTTATATAGAGGGACTCTACTCCCGTGCTTGACTGATCCAGTGCGCAGGGACCATGGGAACTGCGCACAGAATGACAATGGCGTGATTCATCTTTGATTTCTTGTTGAACACAGGTCGTGCTCATCTGTGATATGTATTCACTGACGACGATGACTACGGTCGCACAAGTAACAATACCTCGTGCTTTACCAAAGAAGTGCGCCTGTTATGGGTGCCAGTCAATTTTTACATTTAGACTATGTGTAAATTAAATGTGTACTTTTTTAGTCACAACATATGCATGTTTGCTCACTTTGAGTCACAAAAAAAAACTTGTCGTCCACTTTGAAAATTGAATCAAAACATCGGTTACATTTCGGTCAAAAGAATTCCGCGCATGTATCAACATGTCAAACATGTATTAAATAAAAGAAAAAATGTTATGAAAGCTTTAGTCTAATAAATGTTTTTATTATGAGTTTTATTCTTTATTTTACATGTAATAATAATACATGTCCTATAATGAAATAAGAAGTGCATTGATGTTGCCGTTATCAATCTTCGCCATAAAACATGCAGAGGAATTCATGGATCCGAGGCATTTATATTTGAGATATATTTGCACATGAGGGTTGATAAATTTCTGCAAGGACAAATAAAAAACGGCATTGTCATAAAAAAACTGTGTCCTTGTGGAAAGCCTATAGAATAGCTAGTCGCGCGTCTCACAGCTCACAGCTGCATATATTTTAGCACATGGACGCTTAGGTTACCTAGTTGTATTCCTGTGACACACGCACGCATTGATATTGCGTGACACAGCGACGTATTGCACACGTTCGGGGCATACGCACGCACGCACGCACGCACGCACGCACGCACGCAGTACATGCACGAGGAACGTACCCGTATGCATACTCGCAAAATAGCCGCCTCGGGCGGCCATATTCGCTCGTTACGCTGATGAGACTACGATGTCTCTAAATCCCGCCCCGATTCATAGTAATCTTTTAGTAAAATATTAACTTGATACGAAGAAAATAATACAAGGATCCTGTTACTAACATAAAATTTTCTTTCCGGTATATTCATTTCTATATAAAACACTTTGTACACACCTTCTAATCCATTGTTTTTCTCTTCAAATTAAGGCTAATGTAATATACGGGACCCGTTTAATACGATTATTTTTCTTTTGGCCGTCAGTTTTCTACTAACGGTGTTTGACTGTAGTAATGATTCTTGGAAAAATGTATGCAAACGCTTCGCAGTAATGGTTTATATGTTTATATCCTCCGCACGTAGTGTACGTAGCGGAACGTATTGTTTTCGCGCCGTTTGTGCATCTGTGTTGTGTGTGTCGTGACTGCGCCAGTCACACGGTGCGTGCCGTGCGCCGCGTGCGTTGCGCCGCCCCCTCGACGACCTGTGGCACGCGGCGTGTGGACGTGTCTGTCTGTGCTGCTCGATATTTCTGAAACCGTTGGAGGTAGTAACTTCCAAACTTGCGTCCAGAGGTGGCACCTTAGGGGCGGTGCGAACCCTACTTGATTTTGCCAGCAGCCTCTCACCCAAGGTCAAGGGTCACATGTTCACATTTGATTAATGGATATAATATATATATAGATATATATATATATATATATATATATAGATAGATAGATAGATTGATAGGATAGATAGATAGATAGATGGAAAAATAGATAGCATTGATAGATAGATATCGCTGAGTGCTAGCGTGCAGCTGGAGCGGAGACTTGATCACAGCCAGCGCGCGTGTGCCCTGGCGAATCCACTGCACCAGGGCGCGTGTAGGCCCCCCTACAGGATTCTGTAACCAGGGGGGGGGGGGCTCTAATGCGTACACCCAAACTTGCCGAGCACGCGAACGCGGAGCGATCCCTGGGCCCGTCCTCCAGAAAAAATTTGAAATTAGACCCCCTTAGATGCGTTTTCTGCGCGAGCAGGGGACCCCCCCCCCTGTACACGCCCCTGCTGCAAGGTTACGTGACAGACTACTGACCCTTAGCCTGTGGTTGCGTGTTTGTAAGTCTACAGCCAGCGCACCTAGCGGAAGTGAACTGAATCGTGCATGTTTTCCAGGGAGATTTTGCATTAGATTTTCTAAATTTTTTTTTTTTAAACATTGAACCCAATAAATAACAAAACGCAAAGTGTTAGAATCGAACCTGATGCGTAGGAATGAAGCACGAAAAATTTCAGCCGGATTTGTGCACGCGCCTAGAAGTTATGCAGGAACAAACAGAACGACACTACTCAAATTATTATATAGATATGCCCATTACTCTCATATACGTGGCTATCAATGCTATCAATTAATCATTTGCTTCCTCTCTCTCTCTGTATATATATATATATACATGTATACGCGTTTTACGCAAAATTTTTTCCGGTATTTCCCGGCTCCCGTCCAATCACGCAGCCGGCTGAAAGGTGCGATAGGATATGTTTACTAGGCACTTCTAATTTTAACATATATTTTAAATTTAATTAGGGTCAGGGTTAGGGTTAGGGTTATAGTTAGGGCACTTTTGAGGGTTTTTGCATCATTCTTTAATATATCGTAAAATATATGTTAAAATTAGAAGTGCCTAGTAAACATATCCTATCGCACCTTTCAGCCGGCTGCTCCAATCACGCGTTCTCCTCGCGTTGCCCCGTTGCCTGCACGCTACAGACATATATCATTTCACAAGTTTTTTACATGCTTTTTTCAGCCGCTGCTAACTGACAGAATCAATATGTCGTATGCACGCATGAGTAATCTACTTGATAGATGGCAGAAAAACCCTGTAAGAAAACGTAAAGCTTCAATCACCTCTTACATGTGAGAATTAATGTCGAGGTGAAAACACCAACTTGTTGCCAGCGTGCGTATTTCACCTGGTGTTGGTTGTGAAGTTGTGAACTGGTGTTGACTGAACTGGTGTTGACTGAATTGGTGTTGACTGAACTGGTGTTGACTGAACTGGTGTTGACTGAACTGGTTGTGACCTGGTGTTGGTTGTACGCGTCGAAATGTACAAACCATTACATGGCCGTTGGCGAACTGCTAACGGTCAATTGCCCAGAACATAAACCGCGTGTGACTTTTCACCCCTTCTTCCACAGGCACTTGGAACGTTTCAATAGTAAAATGATGGTAAATTAACACGAAATGTATTTACTACCAAAGTCTTAATGTTTCTCTACTCCATTTCGCCTATTATTGCCGATAACTTCCTGTAAATGCCGTGCATATCCCCCTCTGTACAACGGCGTGTGTGCAGTGTAGGCCTACTCATGTATTCCAGAGGAGCCTTTAAACGGCATTTACAGGAAATTATCGGCAAGAAAAAGAGAATAGAGAATAATAGGCGAAAGAAAGTAGAGAAACATTGGTAGAGAAAATTTTGACTTTGGTAGTAAATACATTTTCGTGTTTATTTACCATATTTTTTTAATTTAAACGTTCCAAGTGCCGGTGCCCCCTTCCCGGAGCGAAATGAGTTAACGTAGTATAGATATAACGTATAGATACAACCAAGAGCTATAAGAATACATGTATTAAAGCATAATGCAATGTATTATTAGCTCTTGATACAATGTTTATTGTTTATAACGTTCATGAATGAATCGCATATGCAACACCACAGATACATAAAAACACGTGTTTGCATATGTCCACACCAATAGAAGCGCTGTCCGGCAGTGATAGGGTAGTTTTCCTCCAGCGATATTAGAGTGATGATCGGATCTTATAAACAAAGATAGAGCCAGCCTAGTGTATGTAATACGTTTATTAATCAACCACGTATGTAAATAAGTGACATGCATGTTTATATATAACTATATAATATATCTCTTTCCACCAAATTATGAAATAGGAAAGAGTATACTACCTGCCATATATATAAGAAAATGTGATCATTGGACGTTTAAATCGTCAGTATCAATAAATTTGTCCAAAAAACGAATTTGGTAGCAGGACCGAGGGCCGATTGTGCGCACGCAAATAATCACATTCCCATCCTAATGCGTAGTTATAAGTCACTAGCATGTGAGTACATTTCATCACAAAATAATAAGGAAACCTGCACATTAAAGGGGCATTGCAGCTAAATCCTTTATATACAAGTCTTGTTATTAAAAAATATGCTACTTGCATATAATATATCCATATGATCTCAGTGCAATAACACGTTAGAGATAATTATGGTCTATTGCAGAGTTCAAATGACTCCTAAAATAATTTTAGATAACAAGAACTGCATGCATGTCTAATTGCATTTACAACTGTCAAACTTACGTAATCTCTGAATAACAACAAAATGTTTAGACAGCTATTGTACTGTTGTAAGCGAGTCTATGAGGTAGAAATGCATTTTAACTCTTATATATATATATATAATATATATATACGAGCTGCCTCGCCGCTTTGCGCCTAGGCAGCGAGGTGAGACGCCACGCACATCTGGTGAGAAAATGCCCCATGTGAGAGCCGAGACAGGGGCACTTTGAAACCATGAAAACTGCACAAAATGTGCCAATTTGGCTGTATTTGTGTTCATATTTTTTGCATATCTCTCTTACCTCTGTATCAATAGTAAGAAAATTAGAACCGAGCGCTTTGCGGTAAGATCGATGGAAATGCATCAAAATTCAGCTTTGTTAATAAAAGTACCACAAAAACAAGCATATTTTCTTAAAAGATGCACAACAATTGCATCAACAATATTCAAGAATTCAAGCGTGGCGCAGTGCGTAGGACTGGATTTATTTGTTTTTGTAAGCCATATGTGTACGCGGGCGTACGGAGTTACGGCGTATGCACCAGTCTCAACCAATCATGACCAAGTGATAGCAGCAGCAGGACATGCTGCAAATATATAAATAGATATGTATATACATATAAATATATAAATATTGCTGCTTTCACAAAATCCCACACACATCCGAGACTAATGTTAATTAAGTAGGTTTTATGATGAAATAAACTTTAATATTATTGAAATATTAATCAATTTAAAATTCGGGAGAATTTTTATTGAAATTTTAATCATTTCACGTTTTGTCTATCTATATACTGAGGATGAAGTTTTGAAAATACTCATCTTCAATATATAGTTCTAGGTTATTGTGCTGTTTAAATCCCATAATTACGATTGCATATAGGATGACTGAATTAAAATTTTCCATTGATGAAAGTAGTAATCTTCATTTTCTTACAAATTTACAATGCATTTGTAAATTTGAATGACATTTTCCACACTAGTAATAGGCTGTGCTGGACATTCTGGTCATCGGAGTAACAACGTTTCGAACAGTTTTAGTTGCAATTCGTCATTAAAAATGATAAAGAAGCAGCCAATACTTTAATAGAAAATGCCGTCTAATTACATATAATTGGCTAAAATGTCAGAAGCATTCTCTCCAATCCTATTTCTACAAGAGGACACATGGTGAGGAGGAGTTGGTTAGTTGTTCCACATCTTCTCCCTCCCGGATTTTAAGTACTGCATCAACAATCTGTGAAAAAAAACAGTGGTATACGTTTGAAACACACTAGCACATACACCCAGCATGCTTGCCCATTCGAAATCAAAACTTACCGCAGTTCCTTTTACCATTTTCTTATTTTACCACTGCATCCAAATATACGAGACATATATGGATAGGGAGGAACTGTTTGCATAGCTTGGATGACACTTGCACCAATATCAACAGGGAAAAGATTGGGGAAAAACACGAACATAGTAGTAATAGCAACAAGAGCCGCAGAGCGTCTGGGCTCATTTGGGGTCTGTTGCTACGGTTATGAACGTACAATTTCAGTTGTGCGTAGTGACACATTTGTTAGGCGCAGATATGCAGATACGCAGTTGCGTACACATCATTGTTAGGACACGCTCACTATCTCCCCCCCATGCGATTTTGGTTTATTTTATTAAAT